GACTTCGCTTGTTATGTGCATCGAAGAGTAACCTGCAGCTGGATCGCACACTGAAAAAACAAGATAGAAGTCACGTGAGGGAAAATGTGGGCTTTTCATGAGTAGGGCTGCACATAAAGTCACAGCACATCCTCTTTTCAACCTGGAGTGACTTTTTTTAGCACCTCTGCTGAGTTTAGTGCTCGAAACAGGAAGCTTAATGAGTGCAGAGCTACTCACATCTGCCAAGCCCGTTTAACACTTTGCAAACTTAACGTAACCTAAATAAAACACTTTGCTAACCTGTGAAAGCCGTTTCAAAGAAAAATTGACTTTTAGGGTGAGTGTAGCTGCCTCCACCGATATTCACCTCATATTGGACAGATGTGAGTTTTTGCCATGACTTCTTGGCCTCATTTGGCCCAATTAACACTGGTCAGTCCTACAACGGAGTGAAAGTATATGCAGGGAAACTCTGAGGAAGAATGACCCAGTTTAAAAATCTGAATGAAAATACTGCTGCTTTATTATCAGTGCACAAAGTCTGAAAGCTCAAAGCCCCATGAGTCAAAAGGTTTGAACCACTTAAAGACACCTTCACCACATCAGAAGGAGTTCCTGACTTTATAGTAAAAGTGAGAACACAAAAAAAACCAAAAGTTTGTGCTCACTCCGAGAGTCCGGTGGACACACTTCTGTTTTTTTCTTGCACACAAACAAGAGGGTGAATGTGAAGGGGTCTGAATCCTGTTGTCTGCATTGAACATGCACAACTGTGTTTGTGACCCACACCCATTTTCACACCTTGGCTCATGTGATTAGGTAGAGGATCATCAGGGGGTCCTTTTTGTCCCAAAACTCCTGCAGCCTTAAATCTGGGACTCTCCACCATTTGACCTTAGAACTGAAGAAGCTTCTTGGATGAGAGGTGAAACGTCTTCAAGCAGCTTAAAGAAGTCCAGACACTTTTCTTTCCAAGCTCCTTAGACAACAATGTTGTTACCATCATTCGACGGGACCAGCTTCCTAAATATCAGATTATCCAAGGTTACACTTTCAGTTCCCACCAAAGGATGCAGAAGTGGATCAGAAAGAACGTGAGCATCACCACGTGCTTATCCAGACTTTCCTCTTGTTTCTGTAGCACAGAGACGCCACAGATCTGCTTCATTCAGCAGCTGTTTGTGTTATAGCTCTGTGTGAGGAGGAAAATCATCATGGACGCATTATCTGTTTTTGAAACTGGCAGCTGCACTCAAGATATAACTTGGAAGGAAAGCTCATCTTGAAGTGGATCAATTGTGTTTTTCTTTATTTCCTGACATAGATCTTGTTCCAGCCATGGATAATCACATTAAACATTTCTAATAATGTGGTCAGGAGGGAGCGAGAATGAACTGAGGGCCTGCACCAAGACTCCATATCAAATAAAGAAGGATTATTTTGAGATGTGAATCATGCTAAGCTATTCAAGCAGAGTCAAAAGATAAAAAAAAAAATATGGACCTGGACATGTTAAGAGTCTAAGATTCCATGTTTGGAAAGTTGGAAAGTCTCCAAGCACCTGGAAAAGTGAGGCTGATGTTCAGTGGACTGAAGATTTGAAAAGATCAACCATCATATTAACAACCATCATAACGTAGTCGTGCACTTCAGTTTAGTGCTTAGCTTAGTTGCTGATCCAGAACACCAACATATGGAGCAGATTTCAT